GAAAACGCCCTCTTTTCGATCCTGCACGCGAGTCGTGCACCTGCATGCTCCAGGGTAGCTCGGCTCAGAGGGGCCAGGTTAACTCGGCATGGCGAACGGTATTCCTATTGCGGAGGACAGGGAGTGCAATACCCGAACATAACCGGATAAAAGGGACGTGCGTCACCCATTCTGAAGGATCTGAAGGAGGCACGTGAACCAAAACCACATGTGATTGCGGCCGTTACAAAGTACTTGAAGACGTCGGTGTCGCCGACGAGAAAACCTGAAGGCACAGCACGGCGGTGTGAGAGACCGATGTCCCGTCGCGGGTTTATTGTTATCCCGCTGAAGGAATCGAGACGGAATCGGTGGCAGGTCACGCGTTTGAGGAACGCTCGCACGAAGTCACCCATCAAGGTCCCTAGACCCAGAGTACCGTATATACGGACGAATATCCTCACTCAAACTTCCACTTCCTATGGACCAACCCCCTCACTCTTCCATCATCATCCCATCAAGCCGTCTTATCTCTCCGCTTCGCGAATCGCGATGAACCTCTATGGCGTTTGTGGCTGCTGAATGAAATGAGAATCATGTCAGAACGATGGCATGACCTTCATGACTGGAAGAAGCAATTAAAGGATCGGCGAGATCGTGGAAAGTCTCAGCCAAACGATGGTATGATGACTGAAACCTGGGGAAGTTCAACGGATGCTGCACTCCTCCCGCTGCCCCGCACTTGGAAAAAAAAAATATCTTATGTTCTCTCTGATTTGGGCAAGTCACCTGTTGACTTCGAGACCTCCCTTTTCCACATTCCTATACTATGTTAATTTCTATTCAGAATGCACGATATTAGGCTACGCTCACCTAAGTTTCCTTCACGTCTCATATATTAGCGTGTCAAACGTAAGATTACTTGAGATTACTTCACCCTTCATCTCTTCTATACTTTTTTTAGCGACAAACTTTTTGACGTCACTTTTCAAAAACATGTCTTGATGTCATGCCATTGAAAATTCAGATTCCAATTCGTCTATTTCCGATTTGAGAGCCCATCGGCCTTATTCGCTCCAAGCTTTCATTTTCGGCGTTAATGGAGATCACTACTGCTTGTTCGAGGGGTTTGGAGGGGCACTGTCGTCAAAAAATGGCAGGTGCGAACGGTGCACTGTTCTTGCCCGCAGGAACATGAGGTCACTAAAATACGAGGATTGCTCCAGACCTCTCTTGGAGATGTCAATCAACATTCTGACATCAACAAAGTCGCCTCTGACAGCTTTACATTACAAAAGAGCCTCCTTTCCGCAATATGAGTTCTCCCAGTAAGAAGCAAAAAACAGAACAATCAACAACAATGGCATCAGCACCAGAGCAATTCGAGGGTTTCATGATCAACTCCAGCGAGAAATGGAGCGACTTTACGAAAGAGAAGGTATGGTCCTTACCCTGTCTTGTTATTTTCTTTCCACTGCATCATGTGGAAGAAACCATTCAGGCGCCATTGGCATTTGCAATTGCAAGATAATCAAGAGCCGCTGCATTGCACGTATATCAGTTTGCGCAAGGGCTGACAATACTGCAGTTCACCCCTAAAGTTTTCGAGGAGAGCGACGTTGATATTGAGAGTGAATGCTGTGGCGTCTGCGGCTCCGATGTACACACAATCACGGGAGGTTGGGGTGATCTTGCTGTCACACCTATCTGCGTTGGCCACGAAATCATTGGCAAGGTTCTAAGGGTTGGCTCAAATGTAAAGGGTATCAAGCCTGGAGACCGTGTTGGTGTTGGAGCTCAAGTTCAATCTTGCATGAAATGTCCCCAGTGCAAGTCAGACAACGAGAACTATTGCCCGCACATGGTTGGTGAGTACAATTGCATCCCTGAGCGGACTTTCCGATCGAACTTTTGCTGACTTTACAGACACCTACGGAGCACCATACAATATTGGCGGAGCAGACAGCGGCAAGCCCATGAAGGATAAGAATGGCAAGCAAATCTGGGCACAAGGAGGGTACTCGTCACACGCCCGAGTCCATGAACAATTCGTTTTCCCAATTCCTGACAATCTTCCTTCCCACGAAGCTGCACCAATGATGTGTGCTGGCCTGACCACGTACTCTCCACTTGTTCGAGCAGGTACAGGGCCAGGCAAGAAGGTCGCAATTGTCGGTATTGGTGGTCTCGGACACTTTGCTCTCCTGTGGGCAAAGGGATTAGGAGCGGAAGTCTGGGCTCTATCGCACACCCCTGGCAAGAAGGAGGAAGCACTGAAGCTTGGTGCTGATCACTTCGTGTCTACCAAGGACAAGGATTGGGCCAAACCTCTTGCTTTCACATTCAACTTCATCCTCAACTGCGCCGACATGACCAACGAATTTGATCTGAAGACCTACATGAGCACTCTTGCCGTCAACGGCACCTTCCACAATGTCGGTCTCCCGGACAAGCCATTGCCCCAGATGATGGCCCAGGACTTCACTTCCAATGGTAGCTCGATCGGCGGTTCTCATATCGGAAGCAAGAAGGAGGCTTTAGCGATGCTGAAGCTCGCCAGCGAGAAGGGTCTCCACCCGATGATCGAGCAGATTGACATCTCAGAAGCGGGTTGCAAGAAGGCTGTTGAGAAGGTCAAGAAGAATGATGTTCGCTATCGTGTTACTCTGGTTGGCTTCCAGAAGGCTTTTCACACAAAGTAGATATTACTACCGCGTCCCAAGGAGGAAATGAGAAGTGTACGATTATCACGAGTTCAACAATATTGCATTAAGACATAGACAAGGTGTATGTTACAATAGAACATGAATAAAATATCGAAATCGATTCATTCTCTCTGTCTAGTAGTATCTATCAACCAACCCTGAATCCAAAACGAGGTACATTTTTCCTCTACTCTTGATTTGTAGTTCTCCCGTGGGACTCCCAAGGAAGGTCACGTGTCCCCCGTCCAAGATCTTTCTGTAGAAAACAAAACATACTGGTCCTCATAGTGCACGTTTCTAACTAAATCAAAGCAATCTTGCTGGGTTTCCAAACATTAGCTTGAAACTGCCCATTTTCAAAGCCAAGACCAGTCCAGATTCAGTTCCAATATGAAGCTATCTCCAACACCAAGGCATAGAGTGCGCTTGCACGTGTCAGTGGCTGATCCAGGCCACAGCCACACCGTCGATCCCTCCGTGGTCCCCTGCAGCGATGACGCACAACTCCGCACCACGACATCATTCCCCACCAGGTTCTTTGGCCCACTTGCAAAACCTCACCAAACCGTACCAGGCAAAAAGTAGGCCTCCAAACGACGAATCATTTATTCGAAACAAAGGAAAAGGGAGCACAGCTAGAGCAATAGCACCGTTCTAGACTGCCGGGCCGCTCTGCAAAGCCACGGTGTTCTTCGGGACTTTTCGTCATGCAGCGCCACAAGTCCGATGGGAATCGAGATCGACGCGAAGGACCCTGAATTCAAGCCTCAATCGACACCTAAAGTTCCAATGGAGTGTTGAGAACGTTGGACGTAAGCAGACTAGGTCCGCCTAGCGACTGGTTTCTGCAGCTAAATTCCCTGCTCTGAGTGGATGGTGATGTGATGCCGTGCTCTGCCCTGTTACTGCTCCACGCTGAGTGATCATTACCTAGTCCGCAGCTCAACTTGCTTCATAAACCCCCGTCCCCTTCTCCTCTGATATTACATCTCTCCAGCATCCTGCTTACTGACGCAGACAAACAACAACCACAAGTTCACCACACACCCACCATCAGGCAAAATGGCTTTCGGAGGCATCGCTCTGAAGTCCGTTTCCGTCGTTCTCCGAGCTATTGAATTCTGCTGCGCCGCTATTATCCTCGGCTTCTTCTCCTACTTCCTTGCAACGCTACACAACCATGACTTGAGCATCGCGACATATATCCGAGCAGTTGAAGGTATCTCCGGAGCTGGCGTCCTGTACACAATCTTCGGATTTCTGCTAGTATGCTGCCTCGGCGGAATTGCCTTCTTCAGCCTCTTGGGCATGCTGCTTGATCTCGCCTTCTGCGGAGCATTCATCTATGTAGCATATGCTACTCGAGGGGGTGACGGCAGCTGCAGAGGTTTTGTGAACACTCCATTCGGAAGTGGAAACACCAATGTCGACAACACTGTTTCGCAAGGGAACGGTGGGTTCACAGTGCTACCAAGCCTGCACACTGCATGCAGAATGGAGACTGCCTGCTTTGCAGTTGCCATCGTTGCTGCGTAAGTCCCACTACATGTCTGGCAAATTCAACAACACTAACAGCCACACAGTGTCTTCTTCTTCATCTCAATCTTCGTCGAGTACGGCCTCATCCGCCACCGCAAGAAGGAGCGTGCCTTCGGACCCTCCCCCAACAACGGCTACACTGCCGGCTCCCCAAAGCGCAAGTTCTGGCAACGCAAGCAGAAGCGCAACACCATGTACGAGAAGAACGCCGATACCCTCCCCACCCACGCTACGCCTGCGGATATGAGAAACTCGTATGCAACTGATACAACTGCTGTTGGTGCGGGCGAGGCTCCATTGAACAAGTATGGCAATGCTGCTCCGTATGGTGCGCAGACCGGTGGTGTCACGGCTGGCAATGGGTGGCAGACCACGACTACTACTCATGCCGGAGCTCACCAGCCTTATAAAAATAACCCCACTGGGACGTTTTAAGCTGGTTTGAAATGGTTGATGTTTGAGTAAGCGTTGCATTGAGCTTGTTTCCAGGTTGGAAGATCGGGATCGCTCAGGTTGGAAAATGGGAAGTAGTGATTTGACACTGTATATATCATGATACCACGACACCTGACCAGTACTTAATAATTAATAAATCTCTGCATTACCTGATATCAATGTTCCTATCCTGCCTCTTCTTCCTCTAATCCTGGTCAGAAGTGGGGTAAGCAGTACAGTACACCAACTCGGTAAATTCCCACACAAAACAACAAAAATTTCCGCTCACAGCCACAAGACTACGGAGGAACAAGATTCGAAAAAGAAATCAAGTGTGTCACGTGGTCACTACGAGGATCGAACTCGCGACCTTGGCGTTATTAGCACCCTAGAGGCTCATTAGTATCAAACGCATCGGTGCGAGGTTCGATCAAACATACACGCTCTAACCAGCTGAGCTAACTGCACGATGTTAGAAGATGTCTTTTCTGAGGTAAATGGAACAACTTACGCGACCGTGGAATTGATTGGATGGCACGAAAGCTGCTTATTTGATGATATGAGTGCGTTATGTGATGTGCGAGGAATTTTCAAATGCTTTGAGTCATTGTGTGGAGAAGTGCGAGTGGGTCGAGGGGCGTTTTGGGGACGAATCAGTCAGTGAGTCAGGGGTTGGGAAGCGAAGGGAGGACCAACAGGAACTGTGAGAATAGATATATTAAGCAGGAGTGATATGTGAAGTAAAAACTTTTATATCTATCTCTATATTGACAAAGGCTGGGTATAGTACACCTGCATAGTTATACAACAAAATTGACCGTTTTCCCACCATGCACCACAATCACCTTTGTGGCCTTCCTAATATCAATAAGAGGCTTGCCTTTCTCGGAGCCGCCTCTCAACTTCCTTTCCCCCTCACTCGTATCCAGAATCTCCTTCACGATCCACTTCTCCAACTCCTTGCCCTTTAAATTTGTCGGGAGGGCGGGAATCTGAACCACGAGACGCAACCGCCCATTGACCTGCACGGCACAAGACTGCTTGCTCGGAGCCAGCATCTCGAACGTGCCGTCGGTGGTCGGGAACGGCTGGTCGAAAATGGATTCTCCATGCTTGTCTGCTTTGGGGAATACTATTGTATATGGTTTGAGGCGATTCAAAATTGTGCTAAGTAGGCGGATTAGAGCATTGGGTGGGCGTGGGTGGAGCATGCTCCAGCACTCTTCTGCGAAGGCAGGCGTAATGGGAGCCATCATCTTAAGGAGTTCAAGAACCGAGTGATACGTGATGTAATTATCTGTGCGCCAGCTGTGAGACTCACCGCTCTTAATGGTGAAGGTGCGTTGGTCTATGATGGTGTTTGTGAGTGCCATTAGGTCGGAGACAACTGTGTTTAGGGAGTGCGATTTCCCATACGACTCGGTGACATTGGCGATCGTCAACTGCACTGCTCGCCAGAGCTTCTTGTCCTCGGCTAAAACCTTAGGGTAATTTTTTTTCAACTCGTCTGTCATATGTTGGTTAGTCGCCTCGACTAATACCTTCCCGCGATGGTAGAGCGGTGTCACAAAGTTCGTCGCTGAGATTTCTTTCTCGAAGAAGTGGGATGTGATGAATCGGTGTTTAGGTAGCTGATCCTCCAAATCATACAACATCGCCCAGTCCTCACAATTGTGGCGGATGAATTCATATAGTCGACGAAGCCAACGAGTCACCCCTGATATCTTCTCCTCGTCCCACTCAAGCACTTCGCTGACGGGAGCTTGGAACAGGATATGGGCTCTAGTGGCATCAGCGCCATATTTTGCCAGGCATGTGCTAGGATCAACCCCATTGTACTTTGACTTTGACATTTTCTCGTAGCTGACATGTGCCTTCTCTCCAGACGCGATGATCAAGGGATTGGAAGGATCTGTCAGATCAACCTCCTCTGGCTTGAGGAAGCGACCCGTTGAAGAATCGGTGAATGTCTTTCCGTGGACCATGCCCTGAGTCAGGACTTTCTTGAAGGGTTCCCCAGCAGATTTCCAGCCGTCTGGCCAGAGAGGTGTTGTTACCACGAATTTGGAAACGAAGCGCGCATAAAGTAGATGCAGGATAGCATGCTCCACGCCACCGATATAAAGATCGACAGGAAGGTGGGAATTTGCAGCCTCGGCAGAGAATGGTGCCTCTTCATTTTCCGCGTCGGGGAATCTCATGAAGTACCAGCTCGAATCCACAAACGTATCCATGGTGTCGGTGTCTCTCTTGGCAGCTCCTTTGCAAGATGGACAAAAAGTATTCACCCAATCATGAGCATGCTCCAGGGGATTGCCACCTCTCCCTCCGCCCCAGTGCCTCTCTATGGGCGGCAGTTCAACTGGCAGCTGATCGGCTGGGACAGGTACAGCCCCGCAATTTCCGCAGTGTATAATAGGAATTGGAGTACCCCAATAACGTTGACGACTTATCAGCCAATCTCGAAGACGCCAAGTCTCTGCTTTAGAACCGAGACCTTTCGACTCCAGAAGAGCGATAATTTTGTCGGTAGCTTCCGCTGTTGTCTGCCCAGCGTACGGACCGCTGTGCTTTGTGAGATGACCGTGATGCACAAAAGGTTGACTAGTCAGGGTAGTGGTAGCCTCGTCTGGTGATTGGGATATGACAAATCTGACAGGATCATCATAGCGATTGTGCTTCCAGAAAGCATGGTCTCTGGTATCATGTCCAGGAACTCCCATGACAGCTCCATCTCCGTAGTCGCCCAGAACATATGGTGCCACGTAAATGGGCAAAGAGGCTTTGGTTGCATCTGGAGTGGTGTCTTCGTATGCCAAGGGGTTCAAGGCTCGCACGTGGGGTAAGAGATACCCGACCTTTGAGTCGGCAGGGAGAGCAGGAATTGTGTCCAGGAAAGCTTGTAGGTCTACATCGGTCTTTGCCAAACTTTGAACAATTGGATGATTTGAGGCAAGAGCAACGTATTGCACCCCAAAAATCGTATCTGGCCGAGTTGTGAACACCTCGATGTCCGAATGGGTCTGTTGGTCATATGCTACGACCGGGAACTTGATTCGAGCCCCGGTGGACTTGCCAATCCAATTCTTCTGCATTGCCAGAACTCTTTCTGGCCATGCCCGGTTTTTTGCTAAGCCACCGAGGCCTTCCAAAAGCTCCTGTCTGAACTCAGATATGTCCAAGAACCACTGTTTCAACATTCGTTGTTCGACTTTGGCCCCAGATCTCCACGAGAATCCATTGGCATCCACCTGCTCATTCGCCAGGACCGTCTTGTCCACAGGGTCGTAGTTGACGAGTGACTCCGCCTGGTATGCAAGGCCAGCTTTGTGAAGGAGGAGAAAGAGATGTTGCGTATGCTTGTAGAAGCTGGGATCGCAGGTCGCGAATTCCTGTTGCAGGTCAGATACATCCTACGCAAAACTACGATATACGCACGCGGTCCCAGTCCCAGTGACCATTCATGGCCTGGAGTTGTGATTTCATTTTCCTGATGTTCCTTTTGGTCCAGGAAGCTGGATCGATGCCTCTCTCGATTGCAGCATTCTCTGCCGGCAGTCCAAAGGCATCCCACCCAATTGGATGCATAACATCGTAGCCCTGCATACGTCGGAATCTTGCTATAACATCAGATATCGTGTAGACTCTTAGATGGCCAATGTGGAGGTCTCCTGACGGGTATGGAAACATAGGCAAGATGTACATCTTCTCTTTGCTCTCCGCGCTGTTTGCTTCATTTTTGCCGAAGAGGGCCGGCAATTCGTTCCAGCCTTTCTCCACCCTCCGTCTTTCCCATTCTCGTTGCCACCGCCGGTCAAGTGCTGGGAGATCGAGTTCGAGGGGGTGCGACGACTTTCGACTGAGGAAGAGAGCGTAATGAAGGTGTTTGCGACCGCCTGGAGCTTCTCCACACGCAGGCCGAGCCCATGCCCGACCTACCCGCGTGGCAATGGTCCTCTTCATCATCTCTTTGCCACATTGTGTGCTATGGGAATAGCTTCATTGTGGAAGTAAATTCGATGGTTGGGTTGGTGAACTGCCATCAGACGAGGCTGTCAAAATGAAAGCTCCAAAAAGTGGTCCGTGCTCGATCTAAAACCTCCGAACGGCCAGGACAGAGGACAAAGAACAGAAGCAAGACAACAGCAGCATCCTGGTCTGCAAGTATCTTTTGCACCGTGTCATTTCTTCACTTCTCTCTTTCGAGTCTTCGAGTACATAATTCTGCCGCTCGGTGCCCGCGACTGGCTATATAATTGTACAATCCCGGAACGACCGCGATGATCCCGCAGAAACCACAATAGATACGTCAGCCTCACAATCACGAACCGGGACCACTCTCTGAAAAGCATGCGGACGCAATAGCACTAACCAAAGAATACTATGTCGCGGCCGTACTCAAACCTCCAACCGCATGCGCGCGACTCTCTCGAGCTGGCCAGCCTGGCATCTAGCTCCCCCGGTCGAAGAACCTCTTCCTCGTCGACCTCGTCTCGATCCGGCATATCTTCATCTCGAAAGTTGTCCCTAGAAGAAGACGATCCTCTCGACGACCGAAATCCTGCCGTCAGTGGAAGACCAGGGCCTCACAATCGGTCGTTCTCTGTGTCCTCCACCTTCGACTTTGCTTCGAATCTCTTCCCCCTATCCTCCACAACTGGCAACGGCTATGCGCCGATTGGAGCTCCTATATCGACGTCGAATGGACAGAATGCGCTGGGCGGTGGTTCACTCGAAAAGCACAAGACATTGACATATTTAAATGGGCTCTCTCTTATTGTTGGGCTGATTATTGGGTCTGGGATCTTCTCGTCGCCAAGCCAAGTCAACGTCAATGCTGGATCGCCAGGAGCATCATTAATTGTATGGGCAATTGCCGGGCTGCTGGCGTGGACTGGGGCAGCTAGTTACGCGGAGCTGGGCGGTGCTATACCGTTGAATGGGGGCGCACAGGTATACCTGTCCAAGATATTTGGCGAGCTCTTTGGATTTCTCTTCACGTGGTGTGCGGTCATGGTCTTAAAGCCTGGGTCCTCAGCCATCATATCTATCATCATGGGGGAATACCTGGTCCGGGCAGCAATCGGTGCAGAAGCAGAGAACATCAGTCCTTGGATCAACAAGTCAGTGGCGTTGGTTGGGCTTTTCGGGGTCACATTGCTGAACTGCATTTCCACGAAGCTGGGAACCAGGATGGGGGATATGTTTATGTTCTTCAAGTTTGTTGCATTGCTCGGTGTTACGGTCATTGGCATTGTGGTTGCGGTTACAGGATTTTCTGCATCGGGACAGGCGAACCAGGATTGGAAGACAATTGGTTGGTTTGAAGGGACATCAACTAATGCATCATCTTGGGCCGTGGCGCTGTATGCTGGCCTCTGGGCCTTTGATGGATGGGATAATGTGAGTATTGTATCATCAGTTTCGCTTCTTCGCTAACATCCACAGACAAACTATGTGGTGGGGGA